TGTTGGCCAAAAATTTGGATGAGTTTGAGAAAATTTGAATGAGTTTGAGAAACACTGAAAAATGGTATGTGGAATAAAATTTCTTGTGTCTATCTTCGATCTCTTACCATCAAATCTTCCTCTTGATATGTCATAATGTGGAACATGAACCTAATTAAAAAGCTAATTGCTAGTTAAAAATTTACAATAATGAATCATAATTTTTATTTTTACAAAATACATTTACATCTACACACAATCANTATATAACACATATCTCCACATCAATATCACAAATTGATAATAGCAAATTATAATTTTATTCTTACAAAATATATTTGAACCCGCACCGCATATTTGAATCCGCACACGGTACGGGAAATCATCTAGTTTATTAATATTTTTTATACTTAAATATTATATTTTAGTGTTTAGAACTCTTGTAATAACCTCCCAATGGAAGTAGTCAAATGATTTTATTCACGATATCACATACATACGGATAACATACTAATGTATATATGTGTGTATATAAACGTCTAGACAATTAAGGGAACTTAATTAAATTGTGGAAAATAAATAATATTAGGTATGGATGAAGCAGCTGAAATCTAGTGATATCCTTTACCAAAAAAGAAATCTAGTGATACCTTTAATTTCGATTTGTTTTTGAATTTGTTTTGGAATCCAAAAAGAAAAACAAATCAAATGAAATTTATAATATTCGATTTGGAATACAGTGTGCATGATTGTCACCCATACGTTTACGTGTGTTTACGAGGGTCCATATTTTCCTCGGTATCAAGCACTCGAGAACGATAGTACGTTCGTTCTCATTTTCTTCATTTTTTCCATCTCTTTTACGTTTTTTGGTTTTTGTTCATTTCTTCCTCTATTGGCTCATTCTCCAACGATGACGTACGATACATATATTGAGAAAAACAACTATTTTTCTTTACAATGTTTTTATACCATAGAGAATCTCGGACGAAAATAAAAAATTACAACACATATTTTAGTGATTTGTGCTAGTTAGGTCAGGGCACAGAACGGATATCCTGAAAAATTCACGTATCCGATTTCCGCTCCATTTATAATGCTTTAAAATGATTTGTGCTAATTTTCTAGATTCGATTCGATCCGTTAACTTTCTGATATCTGAATAAATTTAGGTATCTGCATAATATATTCGATTCTATCCGTGAAAAATCGGTTATTCGGATTTTTTAAGATATTCGTAGATATCCTGATCCGATATGTTAATGTTTTTAACATTATTTAATTATGCTTTATTTTTCTTATTTAAACATAATAAAAATTCAATATTTAATGAGAATGAATGGATTCCAGTACTTTCGGTTGTATATCTATAATAACAAAAAAAAAAACTAATCATACATATTTGTTACTTTATATAAATGACATACATATACGAAATCGGATTGCATATCGATATTTTTTAAATAGTATTTGCAATTTTGTTTAAAAGATACCACATTTTAGTATTTGTTTTGCTTCAAAATTTTATAGATATTCAAATTTTTTGTTTTGGATCAAAGCGAATAGCAAATCGAAACAGATTTAATGGATTTTTACCCAGCTCTAGTGATAAGTGTCTTTATTGTGTTACTATTCCAATTCAAATCCGTATAATGCATGTCGTTATTAATTTAATTATGTGATTTATGAAAGAAAGAGCCAGTGATTTAATAGCTAATCCAACTAGTTCACAAATACCACTAGAAAAAAGAAAAAAGAGAAATTTACTAAATTATGACACACTGGAATAGAAAATGTCCCAATACACTTTTATCTCTATAAGAGTGTCACATTAGGATTTAGTTTTAATTAATCCTAATTTTGACCTTGATTTATATTGACAAATATTTTTTTTCAAAACTCCCAAAGTTCGGAAGCATGGACAGCTCCACTTCGCTCCGTCCGGTCTTCTTGATCAATATTCGTCTCGTCACGTTACCACACTCGAAGACTTCAACGACCAATCTGACCGGTACTATGCTTTATATCTCCGTCCGTTATTTCATGCTGTCAGGTAAGTCATGATATCTTTTGGTTTTCATTAAATTCACGGGTTCGAAGTCATATTGTAACACTTTTTTGCAACTTCTTAAATTTAACAAAATCGTCTGTGCCTTGTCTATTTGATCTTTATATTAGCACAAACAACTATAAATTATCTTCAGCTTTACTAGTTACACTCCTTATATAATTTCTATCAATGACTATCCATCCACGAGTTTGAAGTCATGTTTTGACACTTTTTTGCATTTTTTTTTATATTTATATTTGCAATCTTTATGAAATTTTTGTTT